AAATTTTCAATGAATTTAAATAAAACAATAAGAACTAATTACAATCGTAATCCAAAAATTTTTTAGAAAGTGCAAACGGGTCTCAAATAAATTATTAAAAATTTAAAAATTAAATCTGCACCCCACCCAAGCACACCCCACTTACTGACTCTCAAACTTCATCTTCTTCCCTAAATTCACCAACACCATCATCGCCTCCACGTCGGCGTCTTCATCTTCTACTCTTCTTCTTCGTATTCTCCCTCAACTTCATCAAGTGAAAAAATGAATGGATTCAATTATAACAATCGTCACTATTCTTCAACACAATATCAATTAAGAGGGTATTTAATGGAGATTAAAATTAGATTTTTTAGTAAATTGTGATAGAAGTCTTTGAAATGCATTTTTGAAAAGTTATAGTACCCATGAAAGATGTGGTTAATATTAATTATTTAACTTTGATTTAGATTAAAATCGAATTTTAAAGAGCCAAAGAAGTCTAAACCTGAGCTTCTTTCAAAAAATCTTTGAATTTATCCGATTTGCCATCGTCTACAGCCACTCAATTCCACATATCAGATATGCCACCACCATTCTATTGCCATTGTTGGCTGTGCTTCAATCAAACAATCATGCTACATTAATATCAAGGTTGACATATAGTATGACACTTCACAACGTGGCATTTTATTATTGGACAGTTTAAAATACATTCAACTTTTTCATCCAATTATTAATTGCCACATGCAAACAATTGGATAAAAAAGTTGACTGTATTTTAAACTGTCCAATGATAAAATGTCACGTTGCACTATGTCAAATTTTATGTCAACATTGATGTTAATGTAGCATGATTGCAATCAAATAGCCGAGTCTGGCCACAAATTCTACCATACGACCAATCAATTCAACAGACAACCACCACTAGGATACACATTAACCACGATCATAACTACAATCATCGGCAACAACGTTACCAAAGTTGCCCGCCTCTGCTTTCGATCTCCACCAACACCACCACCTGGTTCTCTCAACTTGTCCTTCCATGCTACAGTCCATCGCAACATCGTGTGGCCTCTCTCCTACCAAACACGATTCCTAATACATTTACCCGACTCCACTACCCTATCAGCCATACACCTCTGTTGACCTAATTCACCACCATCCGCCACTAATCCCCCACTGAAAAACCAACGGTAAATCATGACTCATATCATTTTGGGGGTTAAGCAGGGTCCCTTTTTAATTGCAATTATAGTTTTAGAGTGAAATTAATTGTAAGAAATGGTGTAGGAGGAGGATGAAGGAGATATAGAGAGATTTTTTTTAGTTTCTAATTTTTAATAACATATTTGAGACTCATTTGCACTTTTAAAAAAAAAACTAGTAATTAGTAAGTGCATTGCACTTCTTATATATCGGATAAATGATATGCATAATGTTGTTGAATTACTAAAATTATTTCAAAATGTACTAATACTATCTTAATTAATAATTTTTGTAAATTTATGAGAGATTTATAAATTTTTTGAATTGTTTGTTGAGAGGGCAAGAATTGTTGTATTTAATATACAAATTTGCAATTTTGAATCATTTACCTCAAAATAGCCCATTTTGATTTTCCTCTATTGCTTCGACATTCATGATGGAATCCCTCAATTTCATACGTTTAGACAATATTCTTTCTACCATCTTCGAAAGGACCACAAATTCAATTTTAAAAAAAGTGCAAATTACGTAGAAAAATGATAATAGACTTTATTTCATCAATTTTGCAGTCTTCAAGCCTTGCTCTATCGACCAAGCTACACATCACCGCTACAAAAACATAATATACATTCAAATTTAAGAAATCATTTAACATTTTCATGAATAATGATAGAAATCTAAAATTTGGAATGAAATTACAAATCAAAACATATAAAGATTTGAACAAAAAATAAGATTTATTACTTTGACGTTACAAACTTTTTATCTGATTAGTTTGAATATAAATATACCAAATCAAATTTAGGTAGTAAAGTATGTATAAATGTGATTATTAGAATACAAAATCCGAGAGGGTACATAGAATTAATACAAAAAGGATATTCAAGAAGCTCATGAACATTGGTCACTGGATTAATCACAATTCCATCGAAGAAGAATTGTGGTTCACCAATTAGAATGTGGGTTTCATGATCGTGGAAATTAAAGTTTCAGATAATTGAATTAATGTTATAAATCAAATTAAAAATATTATTTTTAATTTCTATAAATGTTTATTTAAGGTCATCCTTTGAGCTCCTTAAACAATATCCATTTTTTTTATTTTATTTTGATTTAATGCTATTAATCAAATCAAAAGAAATTTTTTTTAATCTCAAACGGGGGGACTTGAGGCTATTATTTGAGTTCCTTAAGTAACACCTATTTTTTTAATTTCATATTGAATAAATTGAATTAATACAGTTTATAAAAATTAATGTAAGATTAAAAAGATTAATTTAGAAAATCATTGACATTTTTTCGATTTCGTTTTGAATTAGTGATAATCATGTTAATTTTTAATTTTTTTTAATCTTAAAAGGGGAATTAAGGCCATCATTTAAGTTCCTTAAACAACGCCTGTTTTTCAATTTTATGTCGAATAGATTGAATGAATTTTTTTGTTTTTTTATTTTCAAAGGGGAATTTAAGGCCATCCTTTGAGATTGTTAAACAACATGTGTTATTCAACTTTATGTTGAATAAATTGAATTTACATTGTCAATGTAAATCAATGTAATGTTAAAAAGATTAATTAGGGAATAATTGAAAAATGGAAAAGAAAACAGATTTTTTTAATTTCATGTTGAATAAACTAAATTTATATTATTAATTGATTATTAAAAAAATGAAAATTAAATGAATGTATATTGGGTATGTAGTTAAATATATAAATTGAATTAATGCCAATAGTAAAAATTAATGTAATATTAAAAAGAGTAATTTAGGAAATTATTAACAAATGAAAAAGTAAATATATTTTTTAATTTTATGTTTAATAAATGAAATTAATGTTATTATTATTTATTAACAAAACCAAAATTAAATAAAGGTATGTTAGGCATATAACGTAATATGTGAGGTAAAATTGGTATTAAAAAGTTTTAATTAATTATCAACAAAAGTAAAATTAAATAAAGGTATATTGGATATGTAACTAAATATGTATGGTTAAAATTGGTATTCAAAAGTTTCTCCTCAATACTTCCTTTTAATATATTGTAGATTGGGATTGGTTCGTCAGCTCTGGTCGTCTGTGGCTCGGCCAGAAAAAAGTTCGAGCCGACCCAACTCGATGCTCGATAGAGCTAAGTCAAGACTCTAGCCAAGCCTCATTTTCAACCCTTGACAAGTCAACCCATATAGAAAAGAAAAAAAGAAGGTACAACAATAGGCAGCAATATCATGAGCCGACTCGGCTCGACTTAATAAGGTGTAAGCCAAAAGTTAAGGTCGAGCCTAGATTTTTTGATCGAATAAAAGATCAGCTTGGCACGAGCCAAAAAAGCTCAAACCATTCTTAATCCAACCGAGCCTAAGCCTCAAAGCCCTAGATATGTCCCATGTGGCAATCGGCCCTACATGGGACAAACCCACGTATGCGAACCAGGTGGCAAAACCCCATGGATGAACCTACGTTGTGGCCAAACACATGTTGTAGCCGAGCTCTTGAGGTGATAAAACCCCTTAGTCAAGAACGAGGCTAAAGAAAGAGCCTGACAGAAAATCTTTTGAATTAGATTTATTGAAAGATTGATGTGACAACTCCCTACCACCATCGCCACAACCAACCTATTTGGTCAAATCTACCGCCACATGCTACGACTTATGGAAGACAAATTGGTATTAACATTTATGTCTCAAGATTGATAGACACCCATGATGGGAAGTTAAAATTCCATGGATGAGGCCACGTGTCTTCTCATCCAACGATTCTTATTAACTCTCTTACACTATAAAAGCTCACAGTGAATACCATTGAAAGGTAATGCAAGTTTATACTTTGAGACATTAACTTTGCTCTCTATATTTTTCACTTTACTCGCAATATCGACCCACTTTATTTTATATTGGAGGCCCATGTTAAAAGCCCTCTCACACCCATATATTTCTTTTCAAACTAATTTGATCGTCGGAGTGCGCGCAACTGATTCTACCCCCACCGGAGAATGCCACGTATGGCTAACGATTTATCGTAGCGTGCAAGAATATGACTTGCTTGAACGTGAGAGGTTTTGAGATCTGTTGGCCACATTGAAGGTATATTTTTTTAGGTCAACAAAACCTAATAGGGGCTAAAGTAACATTCTATCATCATATAATTTAAAATACAGTCAGTTTTTTAATGAATCATCTATCGTTACATGCAATTATATCAAGCTTTATATCATTTTTTTTTTTTTTAATATTATAACAAAGTAGCTTTATCTAACATATTAATTTTCAATTATATATTTTGAAATTCAGCAACAAAACATGTGAAACTGACAAGCCCTCGGGGCAGTCTTCATAATGGCTGAAAAATTAGTTATATTTTCCACAATGACCTTTATAATAGGAAATACTATTTTACCCTTACTTTTATTATTTGCAAGATGTGTCCTATATCTTTTAATTATTAGGTCTTTCAGGATTATATCTTACAATTCTTCCTAATTTCCTTAAATATTCTCTATATTTTGATAATTCTTCAAAGATTTTAGGCTGATCTTTTTCAGTTATATATCCTAGAACTATTCCTTCCGAAAATTCTTCTTGTATATCTTTATGTTTAGTTATAATATCTTCTATCTTTTTTATTTCTCTACTAGTTCCTATAGAATCAATTCTTAGATTATGATTACAATAATAATCTATATCTCGATATATTTCTTCAAGTTTTTCTTGGCTAACAGAAAATATATTTTCAGACTTTTCAGCTAATTTAAATAAAAACGAAATATCTTTCTCGTCTAAATATAATCTGGGATCATTATCACTATTAGAAATAGATGTGGATGCTTGTGAAGTATTCATCAAAGCATAAGCATGTAAGAGCAAGTGAATAACTTACAGTAATCGAATAGAAGTAAACAGGCTTTCCCTCCAGTATGTTCTTATAGATGCTTTGCATGTACTTAATCAAACTTTTGAATCAAGTAAAATTTTAAAATGTTTTTTGGAATCACTTGGGTTGACAACTGCTTCCGCAAAAGGCTTTTCAATTAAGGTTGCATTTCTCACTCTAGAGAACTAGCCGTGTTACCACAGACGCTATCTCACGGTATTCAGAGTCTCTGTTTTCACCTCTATTCAGCACTTTTTAGAATCAAGTTCTTACTTGAAATGAAATTTTAAAAGATAACTCACACACAAGGTGCTACGATTTTGTTAGACAATTGCCTTTTTTCCCTAAACCATTCATTAAAGACGGGTACTTTGGCATGATTAACATCCATTCAAAATCAATGTTTTGAAAATCTTTTAAAATCTCTATCTATACTACCAAGAAATCATAAGAAACTTAACGAAATCCTTTTATGAAAGTTTTGTTAAACATAACAAACTTCACTTTAATATTCATAAACTGAAATAGTACATGCTTACAATCTATATTTATATACTTTTGGTACTCACCTTATGAAGTTTAGAACTCCATAAGTAATTACTTTATTACAAGTTTTGCTATCTTCAAACTATCTAAATCTTTTCTGAATACAAGTGGTGTATACAGATTACAAAAATTTTGAGATGTGTTTCTTCGGAGTGTTTTAGAAATAAGTTGTTTCGAAATATCTTCCATTTCTCTTCTTGCCCCTTTTTATAGAAGCTTTTGAGAATCTTATCTTGATAGCTGTATCCTCCTTTCTTTTGGTGGGTAGCTCAGTAGTCTTATCTCCACCGATTTCTCCATTATCTTCTTGCTAGATGGACCTCTCCTTTTGAAATTATTTGCCTTATCTTTGAATTTGTCTTCCACTTTTGACAACTGGTAGATGAGTGATTACAATTATGGAGACTTTCTTATATTATCTTCTGTCTTTTAGTAGCCACAGTTTTTCTTTAATAAATTTCTTTATTAAAGTAGTGATAAAGAGCCACTTTTGTCGATATCACTTTTCCATCTTCGAATCAAAGAATTCTGCAGGGAATTCTTCACTGTTAAGAGATGCTTTACTCCTATCTTCCACTACACAGTATTCACAATGGTGGTCACTGTAATTCTAGATTAGTTTGCATAGTTCTTTCGCCATATCTTCAGACCTATGTACTTGGTTTGAGATAATTGAGGACAATAGATGGTCAAGATAACATATGTCTTCTTCCTTTGTAGTCATCCTTGCATTGGAGTAGATTATATGGTCTTCAGATGGATAAATCCATATTTTTCTTTCTCAGTAATTATCTGAGTTACGTGCTCAAATATTTCTTTGTATCCTTTTGTTCTTCTGTAGGGCATCATATTTATAATATATTGATATCCATTTTTAACAACCTTTTGACTAGTTGGTAAAAAATGTTGGTTTGTAAGTCCCATTTTGATAACATGGAATGATGGATGCATATATTCAAGAATGGGATCCCATTCCATAGTTGTTGAATGGAATCTGATTTATATGTTTATTGTCTTGACAATTTCAGTATATCTTTTAACAGCCTTCCTGAAGTTGGCTGAAAGCTAGGTTATTTCTTTGAAATCTTTGTTGGGATATATACAGAGTATATTTTTTATCTCAAAACAGTTTCATACCCAGTTGGCTGGTGCTCCTGGATAGAAGTTTATCTTGTTGTATTTTGAATAGTGGAGAGTCTTTATCCACTTTCCAATCTTCAGATACCAATCTGATAGAACATTAAAAATAATAATAAAGAATATGACTTCTTCATGGTTATCTTTTCTAGAAAATTTTGCCTCATGGCATATTTTGGCAATATCTTTTGGGTCTATTCTTTCAATAGAAAGTTTAGATTTAGTTTGGCTCTGTAAAGAGCTACTTTCGCTTTTGATATTTTGAATATCTTCTTTACCATTAATAGGCTGAAGTATTCCCGGTGAAGGGGTTCCTATTACCTTCTTCTCTTTCCCTTTATCCTCAGGGAGAGCGCTAGTATTTACTGATTCTTGTGAAGGGATACTAGATTTGGTACAAGTTACATCTACCTCAAGGGCTATATTTTTGCCTTGAAGGTTATCTTGGATATTTTGAATTTGTGTTTCCAAATAAGAAACTTTTATCTCAAATATTTGGACTTTCGTCCTTAGTTGCTCTAGCTCCATCTCTGCTGAGATAATCGGGAAGAAAGTTAGTTTTACCTTTAATATATTCAATATCAAATTTGAAGTATGAAAACCAAATTTATATCCTGATGATATATCTGTTGGTAATAGATGGATCAACATTATTTTTCAAAAAAGCTTTAACTTGAGTATTATCAGTTTTAATCAAGAACTTTTTTGGTAATAAATAATTTTCATATTTTTGAACTCCTCTTTTTACAGCAATGAGTTCTTTCTTGTTCGTCTCATATCTAGTTTCAACTTCTTTGAATGTTCCTAATATATAACCTGCAAGTATCTCAGGACAAGAACAATTCTTTTCACATTTATATTCTTTATGATTCTTTTTAACCTTTAATACTGCTCCCTAAAAGTTATCTGAAACATCAGTTTCAAGGATAAAGAAATCTTCTTCCTGTGGAATTATAAGTTTGGGCAATGCCTTTAATTCTTCTTTTACCTTTCTTATATTTTCACAATCTTGTTTTTCCCAAGACCACATTATATTTTTTCTTAATTTTGGAATAAAATAATTTTTTAATTTGGCACAATTTTCAATGAATCCTTCAGCATAATTCAATATACCAAGGAAGCTTTGTAATTATTTTTTATTTTTTATTTTTTCAGGAAATTCTTGAAATTTTTCTCCAATATGAGATTGCAATTGAAATTCTCCTTCTTTTATAAATAATCCTAAAAATTTTATTTCTGTTTTAGCTATTTCAGCTTTCTTTTAAGAAAATGTAATACCATGTTTTTTCATAATATAACAAAGTTTCTCAATATGTTCATTAATATTATTTGAATGAATAAGTAAATCATCTACATATGCAATATAAAAATGAGTAATTGGTTTAATTATCTCATCCATTCTTCTTTAGAATATCTGTGGTGCATTTTTCAACCCAAATGGCATTACATTCCATTCGTATTGTCCTAAATGATTGGGCGTACGAAATGCAGTTAATGGTTTACTTTCTTCTGTAAGCATGATTTGCCAAAAATCTGACTTACAATCAAATTTTAAGAATATCTTTTTATTTTGTACTTGCTTAATAAGGGTGTCCTTATTTACAAGTAATATCTATCAAATTTGGTAACTTCATTTAGCTTTTTATAATTTATCAACATCCTAACTTTTCCTCTTTTTATCTCGCTATGTTTTCTAACCATAAAGGTTGGGCTGCTATGTGGATTTTTACTAGGCCTAATTAATTTGGCTTCTAACAATTCTTTTATCTGATTTTTAAATTCCTTTTGGTCATCCACATTATATTTCATGGGTTTGACTCTAACAATAGTGTCTGGATTGGTTAATTCTATTTTTGCCTTTACTTTGTATGTATTCCATTTTTCTAAGAGATTTTCAAAATATGTTTCAGAAATTTTTTTTTCAATTTTTCTAACATATTTTCTGTTGTCATTTTTAGGACTGTAACTGGTTTAAATATTTCTGTACTCCAACATCCACTACGCTGGGTTGAGGAACTCTAATAGTTTATGTCTCTATATGCTATTGTAACAGCTTTGTTTATTTTTTGTGTAAATATTTTGTGTGTACAGGGTGTTGTGAACATATATTTATCAATAAACTGTGTAAATTGTGCATTTTTTAATAAGAAATTTTGTCCTAATAAAATATCACATCCAATTATGTTTGACATATATATTGTATCAACAAATACTTCTCTAAAGGAAATTAGAAAATGTACTTGTGTAGCATATTTGCTGTATATTACCTTATTTCCACCTGCTATTGTAGTGGTGACTATCTTCTTTGAATTATATTTGGTAGTACATTTGGTAAGCATAAGCTTATTGTACTTCCAGGATCTAAGTAAGCATGAAATTTAATTCTGCAATAACTTTTTATATTGAGTATAGTTTCAATATATGGACTCATGGGATTAGTACTAATTACTTTTTCCATGATAACAATTATTTCATATTTTCATCTATTCTTGATATGATGATTGGATTATCATCAACTGTTATTTTTAAATATCCTTGGTAAATTTTATAAAGACTATGTTTTTCAAGAAAGTTCATTCCTAGTAATATAGGTGAACGTTCAACTCTATATAATTCATCTTTATATAGAATTATTTGTTTAGTAGATTCTTTCTGATTCTCTCCCATAAGTATAAGAGGGAACTTTACATATTTCCTTATTTTAAGATTATTTCCTAAATAATCCTTGAATATATAGGGTTTTAGCATTTCAAATTCTATTAAATGACTAAAAAATTTAGCATTTACATGATTTTTATCCGCTCCAGTGTCAATGAGGACAAGAAGATTCTTCTTATATCCTTCTTGATTTACTTATCTTGTTTTGATATAATATTGCGAACTTGATGGTTCAGCAATACTTAATTTCTTGAGTTTGCTTATCAGAGTCTTGTCTAGAGGGGAATCTTGCAATAAAATTATCTCGTTCTAAACTGACACTATTTCTACTTATCAATTTTCCTTCAGAATTAATTTCTCTAACTTGTTTGTGGAAATCAAGCATTATTTGTTCTGGTATAGTGACTTTATGTTTTTGGAATTCCCTAGGAGGTATATATTGTGCTAATTCTTCAAAATTTTTATGTATGATAATATTATCAGTTATTTTTTTTAGATTGTTATGATGGCTAGTACTAAAAGCAAAAATTGATTTTATGCTTATACTAATAGCATTAATTTTTCGTAACATTTTTAAGTTTTCAATTCTATAATATAGATTGAAACTTTGGTCAATATTTTCATCAATTAGAGATATTGCATAATTTGATTTTACTGTAAATATTATCTTTTGATAGACTAAATTTTCTACAACTGTTCCTACTAGAGCATTTATACGATCTTGTAAGATTCTGTTATCCATACAATATATTTTTATTGGTATATTCATACCTTTCTAAAAAATCCTTTTACCATTATCTGGACTCCTCCTATTTCACACATTTCAATTTGTTTCTTATGTTTTCCAAAATTTTGGATAACTTTTGTTTTACTCATTCTTTTATAATTATAGGAATTCTTACTTTTCCTATAGTATCTTCTATATTGATAGACATTTCTTTATAATTCATACTTACAATTGTTTTATTAACTCTTGGTAGTATTCCTAAGAATCCTTGTTGGAATACATCTTTTTCTTATAGGTCTAATATTTTCTTGATTATTCCTTTGTAGCATTTATAGGATCTTGTAAGATTCTGTTGTCCATACAATATATTTTTATTGGTATATTCATACCTTCTCTAAAAAATCCTTTTACCATTATCTGGACTCCTCCTATTTCACACATTTCAATTTGTTTCTTATGTTTTCCAAAATTTTGGATAACTTTTGTTTTACTCATTCTTTTATAATTATAGGAATTCTTACTTTTCCTATAGTATCTTCTATATTGATAGACATTTCTTTATAATTCATACTTACAATTGTTTTATTTACTCTTGGTAGTATTCCTAAGAATCCTTGTTGGAATACATCTTTTTCTTATAGGTCTAATATTTTCTTGATTATTCCTTTGTATTTTTTAATATCAAAGGTAATTTCTTGATTTATACTTTCTATTGAGTCTTCAACTTCTATTTCTAGATCTGCTTGTTGTATCTCTTGATTCATATGTACTATCTCCTCAGAATCTTCCTCTAATGAGGATGTATCTAATTCATAAATACTACTGCATTCACTACTTAAATCTTCAAAGTATTCAATTGGTTCTATATCACTATCTCCTTGAAATTTTTCATAAATTCTAAGAATTTTTATATTCTGTCTATCTTTCTTTTTAGGATATTGTGGCAATATGTTCTTCTTCATTACAGATAAAACATCTATATTTTTTAATATTTCTTGGTTTGGATTTTTTATTCCAATTTCTTTTCTTGAAATATTTTTTGTGTGGTTTAAAATTTCTTTTCTTAAATTTTTTGTAGTTTTTGAATTTTCTTTTATATTTTTTATATGGTTTATATTTCTTCTTATAACATCCAAATTGTTCAATTTGACCTATATCTTTGTAACAAGACAAAGATTTATTTCTTATTTTGTATGCTTTTTTACTCTCAAGAGCTTTTCTGCACCACATGCCTATCATTCTTTTTATAAATTCAATCATACTTTCAAAGCTATCTATTTTTACTCCTTCCTCTTCTCCTCAAGGTAGTAATTTCTCATATTCTTTTAATAACTTAATTCCCCATGGAAATGATAATTTTGTAAAATAAGACCTTAATATATGTTTATTTTTTTTATAATCTCCTTGGTTTAATATATAGTATAATTCTTCAAATTTACATTTATATCTTTCTAATTCACACATATCACATATCTTTAAATTTTCCATTGTTATCATTCCTTCATTATATTCATCTTGTTTTCTTTCTTCTTCATTAGAAGCATATCTATGTTCCAAGAACTCTGTTCTTAAGGCTTTTTCAAACTTTTTTAATATTTCTTATATATTTTGATCATTTAAACTATTCCTATTATCTAATACTTCAGTTCTACTTTCTCCATACTTTATTCTTTCTTTTATAGTTTATGGTAACTTCCTCCACCATTCAGAAACAATTCTTCTGAATGTATGTTCTATAAATCCAAATGTTGTATATGTTTCCCATTTATTAAATTGTATTGCTAAGTCTGTACTTTTCATCCATGTTTCAATAGCTTTATTTTTATCTACACAGTTTAGATCTAACTATATTCCTATTATGTGGATTGATTCATTATAAGATTTCATTGGATTTGTTTCTTTTATGGATTGTTTTCTTATATTTTCAGTGTATTTTTTCTGTATTTTTCTATATTGATTAACACGTTTTTTAAGAGGTATTGTTGTGTAATAAGGATAATCGTATATCTCGTCACTACTGAATTTTATTTTTATATTTCGACTTGTTGATGGATTAGTATTCATTTTTGTATTTTCCATTTTTTCAGTTAATTCTTCTAACTGTTTTTTATATTCATCATACTCTTCACCAGTAGATTCTAAGAATTTTCGTTCTAATTCTTCTACATCTGTAATCATATATTGATTTTCTTCATATTTTTTCCCTTTATTATTTTCTTTTTGTGTTATCCTAAAATCTTGTGGTGGATTAATTATAATCCTATCTTTTCCTTTAAAGTTTTTATCTAAAAGAACATTTCCTACTTGTAGATTATGTTCTAAATTTTCTAGTCTTTTATGTATATCCTCAAAACTTTCATTTGTGGTGTTTTTAGGTAAGTAGGGATAACTTGATTTTTTATGTTTTTCAACTTTTTTCAAAAATTCTTCAATTATATTTTCTTCATCTACTATGTTCATCATAATTTTAGGTTTGTAACATGGCTCTGATACCATTTCATCGGAGCGTGCAGCGGAGGGATTAAGATTTTGAATCCAATTAACATCTTCATAAGTATTTATAAGATCACAATAGAATTTATAAAATTCACTATCTTTTGTTAAAAAATTTTCTTTAATAATTATATTTAATTTGTTAATTCTTTTTTCCAATTTAAGAATTTGTTTATGTATATTATTTTCTATTTTGATTACTCTATTATCTATATAAACATTTTTATATTTTAATTTTGGATCTAAATATTCTGTAAAGAAACTTTTCAGATCTTCTGTTAAATAATTTAATTCATTATCTGTTGTATTTCTTAGATCAATAAAATTTTGTATAATTTTTGGGTTTAAATTTATTTAAAATTCATGATCTATATTTTTTTGGGGACCTAATCGAAGGTTTTTATACATTGTAATGGCTTTAGTTGCAAATTCCCTATGAAGGGTATTTCTGGAAAAAATTATTGTTTAAAGGCTATTTTTCAAATGATTATATTTTTTGGTTTAATATTACAATTTGCTATTCTATTTAGGCTATTAGCATGTATTTCCTCCAAGCCCCCTCGCCCTGCCAAAATCATATCTTTAAATTAAATATATTTTAGCCATCTCTTGGTCCCACTGGCTGCCCAACGAATCCATATCTTTTTTTCTATAAAAAGAAACTTCCGCTTCAATGGCTACCCACTCCCTCCATGATATTATCTGTAAATTCCTCCACCATTTTCTTCATCTTGTGCCTTCTCACTCGATCATGTTTAAGCTTAGTGTCACTCTCCGTAACCCCGAGAATCTTATCGAGGTCGGGTGACTTGGCAACGATCAAGTGGACCGGCATCGACTCACCTTCCAAACTCGACTTTCTTGGCATTTATTCACCCTCCGACTCCTCCCACGATAATTTCATTGGCTACACTTTCCTTTCCACCTCGCCCAAATGGGAATCCAGATCCGGCTCCCTTACACTCCCCATTGTCAACCTCCGGGCCAAGTACCAGTTCCGGATCTTCCGATGGACCAAGTCCGAAATCGACCCGAACCGACAGGACAATGATCATAACCGTTTGCCTGGGACAAACCACCTGCTGGTGGAGTCCGAGGAAATTGAATTTGAACGGGGTCGAGGACCTGAACAGGTGCACTTGTCATTGACGGGTTGGGATGGTGAAATGAGGGTCATGTTTGTGACCCATGATGGGAAAGAGAGTTATGTGAAATATGGGTTGACCCGGAAGAAAATGGAGGTTGCGGGTACTCGGGTCGTGAGGTATGAGAGGGAAGAAATGTGTTGTGCCTCAGCTAATAAAACAATAGGATGGAGAGACCCAGGATATATTCATGATGGAGTTATGATCAATTTAAAGAAAGGAAAAGATATTATTATCAGGTAGAGTAGCATTATTCATATTTTTGGGGGTTCAGTATTGTATTGGATAGTAAATTGTACATATTTAACTTATTTTTTCTTTGTTATTAATAGCGAGTGTTATTAAATTTTGGACTATGTCAGTGTGCCGAATCTTTTATCTACTTCTCACAACAAGGGTGGGGACCACATGTCGGACATTTTTAAATTTACGCGGGGCCCACTGTTGGAAATAATGTTACTCCACCAAAGATGAGAACGAATTACAAACAAAATAAAAAATCGAAAGAAGTATAGGAAATGAAGAAATAGCAAAGTATATATGAAGAATTTTGAAGGCTCAAACACAATCTTTGATTGTTGTCCTCAAACGAATTTTGCCCCCACTATTTTGGTGTTTAAAGGGTGATCCGGCAAAAGGTTTGAAGGATTAATCAAGCCTTATAGAGATTCAAAAACTAAACACTTGTTTGAATCTCTGAAACTTAAGAACACAAAGAAAAAGATGAATATGAAAAGGTATTTTCTTTTTGGATTTTGATCTCAAGAAATATCAATATAATAGGTGTTTTTTCAACATTTTTCAATGACCCAAGATCACCTATTTATAGCCAAGTAGTATAGCTTCACGAAGTGGTGCACCTTATGGATGAAAAGCCACAAAAAAACCAACAAAAAAGACCCAACGGTCGTTTTTTCTGTACCATGCGACCGCATGGTACAAACCCATGCGGTCGCATGGTACAATCCTACTGAGGCCATTTGGTCTCGGTAGGATTCCATGCGGTCGCATGGTTTTAGCGCATGGCCTAATTTTTTTTTTTTTAATTGTTGATTTTGAACAATCATACCACTTCATAACAATCCCCCACTTGTTCAAAATTAACAAGTTCTCATATTCAAATTATACGATACTCATGCGTAAGGATTAGATATCTTTCGATTTGAATCTAACCATAGTGTAATTCAAACAAAGTAAAGTCGAAATTCAAGGTAGCATGAAGCTTTGAACCAAGTATTTCATGTGACAATACCGGTGAGAACACACACACGAATATCACGTGTTCTCAAGTTCCTCATTTCTCGCTTAGCGCTTTTACGGCCTTGCGCTTATCCTTTTCAATAAACTTTTAAGAGAGAACTCCAACTCTCTATTAAAGCGGCACCACCTTTGAAGTTTATTTAGGTAAAGTTCTTCCAGTACCTTTGTTACTTTTAGAAGTACTTGCGATTTTTCACTGAACTTTATTAAGAGCTTATAGCTCAACCCTCGTTTCAGTAACAACCAGCATTATATTAATCTAGGATAGGATTATTGCGGATTATAATAATGTTGTAACTATCCACATATCGAATGACTTGTTGTTACCCTTTGAACCCATGTAAAACCTTTTGAGTAACGACAGGTAGGGTTGCCATCATTGGTGGATATTTCAGTTAAGGAGTTTCAATCCTATTCTACTTGAAGTAGATGCCACTAAATCTCTATTTAGAGGTTTAGTTAGAGGATCCGCCAAATTATCATTCAACCTTACATAATTTAGGGAAATTATTCCATCTTTGATTAACTTCCTTATGTAGTTGTGTCTAAGACTCATATGTCTAGACTTCCCGTTATATACATCATTGTATGCTTTAGCTAAAGTGGCTTGACTATCGCACATTATTGGTATTGAAGAAATATTCTTTGATCCCAAAGGTATCTCATAGAATAAGTCTTTAAACCATTCAGCCTCCTTTCCTGTATCTGATAGGGCTACAAATTCAGATTCCATAGTTGAATGTATTACGCATGTTTGTTTCTTCGACTTCCAAGAAACTGCACCTCCTCCTAGAGTAAACACCCAACCCGTAGTTGATTTACTTTCATTCGTGCTAGATATCCAACTAGCATCAGTAAATCCTTCTAATATTGCTGGAAATTTAGTATATTGTAGACCTAAGTTCTTGGTTTTCTTTAAGTATCCAAGAACTCTCCCAATTGCTTTCCAATGTTCATTACTTGGATTGCTAGTAAACCTACTAAGTTTACTTATTGCATAGGCTATATCTGGTCTTGTGCATTGAACTGCATACATAAGACTTCCAATAGCACTTGCATACTCTAATTGAGCAATTTCTCTTCCATTATTTTTTACAAGTTTTGAGCTTGGATCAATAGGGGTATTATACTCTTTTATGTTCAAATGTTTGAACTTATTTATCACATTCTCAATATAATATGATTGACTAAGGTAATAACCCCCACTAGTCTTTGAGACTTTGATTCCCAAAATAGTATCAATTTGTCCAAGATCCTTCATCTTAAATGCAGAAGATAGAAACCTCTTCGTTTCTTTTATCCCATCCATGTGATTACTTATAATCAACATGTCATCAACATATAAGCATATAAATATCATGTAATCATCACACACTTTAGAATACAAACATCCATCTACACTATTATGTTTAAATCCATATGAAATAATTGCTAAGTCAAATTTCTCATGCCACTTCTTAGGTGCTTGCTTTAGCCCATATAACGATTTAATTAACTTGCATACCTTATGTTCATTTCTTGGTAAAACAAAACCTTCTGGTTGTTCCATATAGACCTCCTCATCGAGATCCCCATTTAGGAATGCCGTTTTGACATCCATTTGATGAACATGCAAGTCATATATCGAGGCTAATGCAAACAATATCCTAATTGAAGTTATTCTTGCTACTGGTGCATAAGTGTCAAAATAGTCAATTCCTTCCTTTTGTCAATAACCTTTGGCTACAAGTCTAGCTTTGAAAGTATTTAGAGAACCATCAACATTGTATTTTCTCCTAAATACCTATTTACAACCAATAGGTTTGGATCCGGGTGGTAGATCGACAAGTTCCCAAGTTTTATTTGACATTATTGAATCCATTTCATCCTTGATTGCATCTTTCCAAAACATGCTATCTCGAGAAGCCATAGCTTCTTTATAAGTTTTAGGATCGGTTTCCACTTGAAGAGCAAAAGGAATTGTTCTTACAACATTCAACTCATTTCCTTCTACTAAGTAAAAGGAGATAAGTTGAGAATCAATTTCATCCAGTCCTAAAGACTTCTTAACTCGAGTTCTTTTGCTTCTTCGTGATTCATTAGATTCATTAATATCTTTATTAGATATTTCATCCCGTGTTCCACTTGAGCTAGGGATATTTTCAAGATTTTCCCTTAATTCGTTATTCGAAGTTAACGAATCTTCAAAGAACTCTACATCACTTGATTCAATAATCACATTGGTCTCCAAATTTAACAATCTATAAGATTTGCTATTGTTAGCATATCCAACAAAAGCACATTTAATGCCTCTTGGACCTAATTTGTTTCTATTAGGGTTCGTGTTCTTGCAATAGGCAAGACACCCCCACACTTTGAAGTATCCAATGTTTGGTTTTCTTCCTTTCCATAATTGATAAGGAGAAACCTTAGTATATTTTGAAGGAATCCTATTAAGTATCCTACATGCACTTAATAAAGCTTCACCCCATAAGTTAAAAGGTAACTTAGCAAATATAAGCATAGCATTAGTCATTTCTTCTAATGTTCTATTCTTTCTTTCAGCCAAACCATTTTGTTCGGGAGTCCTAGGTGCAGAACATTGATGAATTATGCCATGTTGTTCACAAAATAAATTAAAATCACTAGAAAAGTATTCACCACCTCTATCACTCCTTAAGGTTTTTATTTTCTTTCCTAGATGATTTTCAACTTCATTCTTATAAATCTTAAACATGTTAAATGCTTCATGTTTATGTTTCATTAAATACACATATGTATATCTAGAAAAGTCATCAATAAAGGTAATAAAATACCTATTTCCACCTCTAGTTAACATGCCGTTTAATTCACATATATCCGTATGAATTAGTTCCAAAATACTAGAGGTTTTTTTTACACTTTGATATGGTTTTTTAATCATCTTAGATTCTACACAAGTTTTGCATCTATATTCATTATTTTCATTGTATGAAATTAAGTTACACTTTTTCATTCGTTTCATGGTACTTTTACCAATATGTCCTAACCTAGCATGCCATAATGAAAATAAATCCACAACATAAGTAAGATCAACTTTATTTATTTTATTGTCAACAGTACAAAGTTTGACCATTCCTTCACAAGAATAGCCTTTTCCAACAAAATTCCCTTTAAGGGATATTACAAGTTTACCGGATTCATACACACTTTTGATACCCGATTTTCCTAAGAGATTTCCACTAACTAAGTTCCGATTCATATCCGGAACATGTAATACATTAGTGAGGGTAACGTTTTTCCCGGAAGTGAAGATTAAATCTACATTTCCTTTACCAATGACTTTGGATCGAACTTCGTTGCCCATTTGAATCTCTTGGTCTCCATCCATTTCATGATAGGTCTTGAATAAAGATTTATCATATGATACATGTACCATAGCACAAGTATCATACCACCACCCAGGAATCTTTCCCTTAATTGCATTTATCTCGCTCACGGTGGCCACAATCCTTTCTTCTTGAATGGAGTTGATTTTACCTTCGGAGTTGTTTCTTTTCCGGTGTCTACAGTCTTTTGCATAGTGACCAAACTTTCCACACACAAAGCAACCTCCTATGTTCTTCTTCTTGAACTTGTTAAAGTTTCTTGAAGGCTTCCTTTTGTTGGTTTTTCCAGGTGGTTCAGATTTCTCTATGGCATTCGCTTTAAAAGTTCCTTCCGAAGAGTTTTCACTTCTATCGCGTAACCTAGATTCTTCTTCAATCCTTCGGTGCTTTTGCAATTGTTCCAAAGAGTAATCTTCGGAACTATGCATAATTTTCTTCCGGTATCCTTTCCAAGTTCCCGGGAGTTTTGCTATTATAGCCCCCACTTGAAAGGTCTCCGGGATTTCAATCTTTACCGCCTTTAATTTGTTGACAAGGACTTGCAACTCATGTATTTGGGGAAGTAGGGGAATATTTTCCAAAAACTTAAAATCAAAATATTTTGAAATTATAAATTTCTTTGTACCTTCTTCCTCTGCTTTGTATTTGCTTTCTAAAGCCTTCCATATCTCCTTTGCCGAAGAAGTGTTGGTGTACAAATCATATAAACGATCTGAAAGAGCATTGAGTATGTGACCCCGACATATGAGTTCATCTTCTTGTCGTTTTTGCCTTTCTGCTCTAACTGCTTCGGTTTCTCCATTGGTGGGTTCCGGTAATGGCGTCAATTCTGGGTCTAAGATATAGAAGATCTTCAATGCGGTGAGAAGAAACTTCAGTTTGTCTTGCCACCTTGTAAAATTTGTGCCATCGAACCGATCCAAACGAACCAAATCTTGATTCATCAATTTGATGGTCGCCATTGTAGTTTCGTTTTCCATTGCACAAAAAATTTCGTTTGAGATTGTTGGAAATAATGTTACTCCACCAAAGATGAGACCGAATTACAAACAAAATAAAAAATCGAAAGAAGTATAGGAGATGAAAAAATAGCAAAGTATATATGAAGAATTTTGAAGGCTCAAACACAATCTTTGATTGTTGTCCTCAAACGAATTTTGCCCCCACTATTTTGGTGTTTAAAGGGTGATCCGGCAAAAGGTTTGAAGGATTAATCAAGCCTTATAGAGATTCAAAAACTAAACACTTGTTTGAATCTCTAAAACTTAAGAACACAAAGAAAAAGATGAATATGAGAAGGTATTTTCTTTTTGGATTTTGATCTCAAGAAGTATCAATATAATAGGTGTTTTTTCAACATTTTCCAATAACCCAAGATCACCTATTTATAGCCAAGTAGTATAGCTTCACGAAATGGTGCACCTTATGGATGAAAAGCCACCAAAAAACCAACAAAAAAGACCCAACGGTCATTTTTTCTGTACCATGCGGTCGCATGGTACAAACCCATGCGGTCGCATGGTACAATCCTACCGAGACCATTTGGTCTCGGTAGGGTTCCATGCGACCGCATGGCCTAATTTTTTTTATTTTTTTTTATTGTTGGTTTTGAACAATCATACCACTTCATAACACCCACATGCATTGTGAGAGGGGGACATTATTCGGTACATATGGAATAATCCTTAAATCTTACATGTCAAACATGCTAATAGTTCTACGCTCTTTTATCGTTATAGGTTGGAAGTGATTCAGGGGGACGGAGTGATGCTTTCAGCTTTGTGTCCCCTAATGATGATTCCAAGGAAACAATAGCCTTCATGTTAGGTGATATGGGAACTGCAACACCCTACACAACTTTTGCTAGGACACAACAAGAAAGTGCTTCCACCATCAAATGGATAATCAGGGATCTTGAAATACTTGGTGAAAAACCTGCATTGATTTCACATATTGGAGACATTAGCTATGCCAAAGATTATTCTTGGTTATGGGACAATTTCTTCAATCAAATCGAGCCGGTCGCCTCGAAAGTACCCTACCATGTGTGTATTGGCAATCACGAATATGATTGGCCATTGCAGCCCTGGAAACCGGACTGGGCGAGTTTGGTGTATAAGAATGATGGGGGAGGTGAATGTGGAGTGCCTTATAGTCTCCGGTTTAACATGCCTGGAAACTCTTCGGAACTAATTGGCAGAGATGCCATGGAAACTCGAAACCTGTACTATTCATTTGACATGGGAGTAGTGCATTTTGTGTATATGTCAACTGAAACCAATTTCCTTCAAGGGAGCAAGCAAAATAGATTCTTGAAGTATGATTTGGAATCGGTCGACAGAGAGAGGACTCCGTTCGTCGTATTCCAAGGACACCGGCCAATGTATACGAGTGGGAGTAAAATTAGAGAAGCACCATTAAGGGAGAAATTAATTGAGCATATAGAACCTCTTTTGGTGAAGAACAAGGTGAATCTCGTGTTATGGGGTCATGTACATAGATATGAGAGGTTTTGTCCACTTCACAACTTTACCTGTGTAAATCTGGAGACGACTGGGGATGAGTCGAAGGCATTTCCTGTACACATTGTGATAGGTATGGCCGGGCAAGACTGGCAAAGGACTTGGGAAACCCGAGCTGATCACCCTGACGATCCCATTTTTCCACAACCTGCACAATCCTTGTATCGTAGCGGTGAATTTGGGTATACTAGACTTTATGCTACGAAAGATAAACTTACACTTTCTTATGTCGGAAACCCTGACGATCCCATTTTTCCACAACCTGCACAATCCTTGTATCGTAGCGGTGAATTTGGGTATACTAGACTTTTTTTTTTTTGATCGGAAACCATGATGGAAAGGTCCATGATACATTAGAGATCAGGGCTCCAGGCAAAGTACTAACTGGTGTTGACAAGGGGCCAAGCTGGGTGGGGCAAGATTTACCATTCCGTGGTACATTAAAATCCCCTGGATACTGGTACTAATCAATTATGGGGACTGTTTTCTGTGGTTTTTCATTGCCCGAAAGATAAATGTTTTCTGGGGTAAGAACAGCATACAAAATTTTAGACTTATCAAGCATTGTATTAAGCATTGTAATACAAACCCCAAGTTAAGAGAAAAAGTCAAAATGTAATGTCACAGCAGACAAAATTCTGATATTGCAAGTATATATGAAATTGTGCAAATTACAACCAACTTCACAATGTAAGAATTCCTTGAAAAATATAACCGCAAAAGATGCAACAAAGCTTGACACTTAGTGCTCAACTATCATTCCATAAAACATATTTGAGCTCTCTGAAATTCAAATACGTCACTTTCCAATCAAACGACGTGCACGTTGATTGGCGCCTTTCACCCGAGAACCTAGTTCGTCCACATCGTCTTGAAGGTAACTGAGGTCCTTGTTTTGCCTGTTGTCATTTTTAGGTTCTACTTGGTTAACTGGATAAGATATATAAACTCGTGACAGATAAATAATGAGAAAATGATAAGTATAATGTACACCACACACCACGGGAGGGGAGGTGAGGGGAGAATATATTGTCTTATGCTCATCTCTTAAGAAACACATTTAAATATCAATCATCTTACGCTCATTGATGCTAAAGAAGCAATGGCTTACCATATGTCGTTGATCTAGAAATTTCACACGAATGTGCAGATTCGAACTTTAGGGAAAAAAATGTTCAGAAAATTCAATTTATAAAACATCATCCATATTTAAATGGCCAGTATTAGTTCTATTGAATTGTCTCATCTAAAAGCTTAAGACGTTAGGAAGCGACAAACTTTTTATTTAAATTATGTATTGAACAGTTTTATAGTTCAACTCTACACAGTATCTCTCTGTGAATATTGAAAGAACGAATATGATAATTAAGCAAAATAATTATGAAGATAATTGACCTGTCAAGTTCAGAACCCATGTCAGTAGCCATGCCCTTTAATTCACCCAATATATTGCTTAGTTCTGAAAATGCATCATCTTGATTTTCCTTCTCCACCTGATAATGAAAATTAAAAATAACGAATACATATCATTGACGCATGCATTCTTATAATAAGTAAAGATATAATTTTATAAGAACAAACATATACCTCTACTTTCTGCAAGGCATTTGTTGGATTCAGAGGAGGCGTACGGGAAACGGGCCGTCCTTTAGGTGCTGGATCCAAACCTAATCTTTCCCTTTGAAATGAGCTACTTTGTTTTCCTCTGTCATTTTCATACGTCAAAGCTGCATAGTCAAATAAGAAATTTAAACACATTTTACAATGGGAAACACCATATATTTTTCAAATAAATTGATTTTCATGAAATATTTTTTGTGAACCAATTGAACTACAATAAGGAAAACTGCAAAACCTCTTGAAGTTAAAGGCCCCTTGATGTCCGATGTCTTTTTTGGCTTCCAAGGCAAAGAAAACATGCTGCCCAGATCATTCAACAGTTTCTCCCCCTGAAAGAAAATAATATGATCATCATTACTACAAAACAGATGTCTTCAAATCTGTGTTCTAGACAAAAGTAAGATCCGTAAGCAGCTTAGAAAATATTGAGCTACACCATGGATGCAAAGTAAAATAAGAATGTGATATACCCTGCTCAAATCTCGGTCGACATCAACAACCATTATGTGGGTCCCGCGGATTTGCTCGCCCTGTCGATGCAAAGTCTCTAAAGTTCTAACACCATCCTGTCTAATGTCCTCTGCAATCCTCAGGCAGTTGTTCACAGAGTTCGTCGTCTCTTCAGCCTTGTTCACAGCACAACTCTCCAATTCTTGAATGGACATGCTCTCAAGGTCTATCCTGCCCTGAAAATTATTGTTCTGTTTGTTTCTAGAGGAGTATGGTGTTGAGGAAGAGGCTCCTCTCCCAAAATCATCCTCATCATCATCAAATGGTGTAGATTTTAGGTCTGGTGTAATGAGCACTGGTTCAGAAGAAGTTGTTCTTTTCGGTGTAATAGTTGGTTCATTATCAGATTCCGTATCAGATTCAAAAGGATTAGAAGAAGTTGTTCTTGCCAGTGTAGTAATGGTTGGTTTGTTATCAGATTGCACATCAGAATCAAAAGGATTATGAGGATCTACAGAGTTTTGGTTAGGCAGTTTACTGGCAGGTGATTTCCTAAAGCCAAACATTTTAGCAAATTGGTTTTTGTATTGAACTACTTACTAGAACAAATTCCTTTTTAAAAATTCTGTCCTGCAGGGATTGGATAAGATGGACACTAATGTCCAATTGCAGCACCTGAAAGCACAATTAAATTCAAAAGAACGAAAAAGGGATTATTTTTACCGCAATCAAATTATGCTTTTCATGTTAAGAGATATTTTATCATAAGAAGATATCATCTAGCACAGCCAATGACTTGAATAAAACCTGGAAGATTATGAAAAGCAAATGACAAAAACTTGTCACGTAAACATTTAAAGAAAATTAGAGAAAACATTTATGCATATCACAGGAATTAAAACCAATGATAGACGTCACAGCGAATGAAAGAAATGGTTTTCAAGATGAATTCTTCTAAAGAGCCATTGTTTGGTTGTAAAATGCCTTCTTTACCCTTATTATTTCAGTGATATTTTGGAGGAAAATTATTGCTGTACCATCACCTTCCTCTTCTTTCATTTGAAGCCCTTCTTTTCTCTTGCATCCATGAAGTTCTTTCTTTCAGCCTCTTTCTTATTATTCTTTCCTCCTCCTTTAAAAGATGGCATTCATTTATGCTATAGAAATAGATTGTTAGTTTAAAGTGAGGGTTACTCAGATTAGTCCCATTGCAATCATTGACAGCATAATCTCTAAATTAGACACAGAACTTGACAATATGTTTAGAAATCTACTTTTAGGAATCTACTTGACATGCCAAGAATACAATTCTCTGGTTAACTCGTGCATCAACTTGAAATCCAATTTAAAAGATCAAAATTATTAAAGTTGATAATGTGATAAGTGATGTAACAAGAAAAAGGAGCTATGGAAAATGTTTGATGACATTCGAGCATCATTTAGTTACAGATAATGTTTGCTTTGTGGGGAATGCCCATCTGGCCCCTGGAAATGATACACTACAAAAGTGGTGTATCATTGATGGAGATATTCGATGCATTCAATCAGATTACTTGCAAGCAAATGGAGCAAACATTTTCTATCCTGTGACGAACCCAAGGATGCATATAAATTAGCACTTGCGCTATTTCAAAGACTGCCGTATTTTGCACTCCAGACACAAAAACTCCGATCCAAATTGATTCTTTAGCACTTACTGAAGATGAAGAAAATCTCTAAAGATATACATTGGGTAGGTTGTGTTTTCAAAGGGTCACTGCATTATTTCAAAGTGATTGGAGGTTGCGAAGAACAAAGGCGAGCTGAACTAACCCTACAAGTACACATTATATAGCTTCCAGATGATTGTACAGGTACATTTCTATATTGTAATTCGTACAGCTCGTTATAATTGAAGTTATTTTAGGCACTCTTAATTTGTTTTCTACTTGCACAGTTTGTGCATACAAGGCCATACTTCAAATTCGGGAGAGGTTTTAGATGAAGCTGCTACAAATCTATCCCAGGATATTGAACCGGAATACAACACAGGGCCCAAAAGGTAGTCAAGTGATTGCCCTTTTAATGCTCATAAGGTAATATTTCATTACTAAATGTTAATCTCGTAAGTGAGGGTAGTTTCAGCAAAGGTGAAAATTTTGTGCATTTGCTGGAAAATTGATCATTTTGATTTCTCTCTTCCTAAGTCCACCCCCATCAAATTTCTTTTTCTTGAAATGAAAATCTCGTAAAAAATTATTAAAATTTTTCTGATTTTACACGCCTATTCTGCTTATGTTGAAAACTTGGGTTTCAAAATGTGAACTATTGATTAATACATACAATTATGATTCAACATAAATTGGACCAACGATTAACAGAATTCTAATGCATTTCCCCTAAAAGATATGATGTAATTAACACAGAAAAAGTAGAAATAATGACAATTAATTAAAAAAAGAAAAGAAACAGACATCAGTGTCCAGTAATTTCAAGATATGTACACACAAGAACAAGGGGTCCCTCCAAGATCTATAAACTAGCAAAAACAAAGGAGAAAAGAGAAGAAATTATACCTGAGTGAAGATATACGAAAATGGTCTGTAAATTTTTACTGGAAACCCTGAACTCTTTTCGATTCGGGTCTACAGCAATGAAAAAATTCTAGGACGAACAGATCAAGAATCGTCAGAGAGAAGAAAGTACAGTGCAGTAAATTCATCCAGTACGCGGCTAAAAGAGAAAAGAGATCTTTTTTTGGTTTGATTGGGAAATTTGTTTTTGCATTTCTAAAGAATGAAGAAGATTGGGGCGCCGCAGAAAGATTGAGAGACATTCAAACCATTTATTTTGAAAAAAATTTTCTGACCGTTTGGGCCTGACAACGTTCCAATTTGTATTTTTAAGCTAGTTACAGTTACATCCCTGAAGTATCTAATTGTTACACTTATACCCTTCTTTCTGTTCAAAAATTATAGAAATCTAAGAAACAAATATGAAATAATTTTACGCTGCATGCTAAATTGAGAAATTACATCAGAGGTCCTCCATATGAAAAATAGAGCAATTAGGTCCTCAAACTATGCAAAACACGTACACATTTGATCTCTGTCATGGAAACATATTAAAAAAAAAAAAATTTCTTTTTTGGATAACAAATGCCTCAGATTTCATTCAAAAATATCATGAACTACAAGATCAACGATGACGCTTGGGGACTCCCCAATCCACACAGTTTAATTCAAAATGATTTGCTTCCCGCCTTACAAATGAACAAACTAAAGAAATCAGAAATCTTAGAGACAAGCTCCTGGGTTGCACGTACAGGTGGTTTTTTTCAAATCTTGGACAGATTCATGATTAATTCCCTTGCCAACAGCCATCATCTGGCATCAAATCAACCACACTGAGAAGTTTATTGCCAAATATGTACTGCTCATTTAACTCCACGCTTCACTTCAGTCAAACCATCATAATTTTAATGTTGCCTATGTTGTATATAGTTATGAATAAAGCTATCTATCTAGACTTTCGATGATCAACAGTCTTGGAGTCAACCAAATGATCTTAAGTTATTAGACTTCTTAAATGTAAGATGTCCAAGCACTTAATTGACATGTGGAAAACCGTCAGCAGCCTAGATAAATAGCATTACTCTATAGTTATTGGTGAATTTTTTTTGAAACAGTCATGTCATTCCGTCCTATCTTTCAAAGTAGTATCACGGGCTCGCAAAAGATCTAACCCCAAAACATTTAAACCATTGGCAAGTCGTTTCTCATGAGTAACTCCCACACCATTCCAATCTTTTCACTTCAAAAACAAACCTAATACAAGTTTGGACAAGCTTAACTGATCAAGATGATCACTTCAATGTAATTTGGGCTGTAAATGATGTTGGAATAATTAATAATTCCATATGTGGGCTTCACATTTGATTGCAAAACCTTACGGGTTAGATATATGGCTCATAATGATAATTGTGTTTAGGCCAAATTTATTAAGTGATCAATTGAGTCTTTTACACCTTACGGGTTGTAATTAATTTGATGTGGTAATTTAAAGTATGTGGGCTGGAAATAAACCCTAATTAGAATTCTAGTCGTAATGGGACGGCTCAAATTATTTCCTATATATAAAGGCTAATTTCAAGATATGTACACACAAGAACAAGGGGTCCCTCCAAGATCTATAAACTAGCAAAAACAAAGGAGAAAAGAGAAGAAATTATACCTGAGTGAAGATATACGAAAATGGTCTGTAAATTTTTACTGGAAACCCTGAACTCTTTTCGATTCGGGTCTACAGCAATGAAAAAATTCTAGGACGAACAGATCAAGAATCGTCAGAGAGAAGAAAGTACAGTGCAGTAAATTCATCCAGTACGCGGCTAAAAGAGAAAAGAGATCTTTTTTTGGTTTGATTGGGAAATTTGTTTTTGCATTTCTAAAGAATGAAGAAGATTGGGGCGCCGCAGAAAGATTGAGAGACATTCAAACCATTTATTTTGAAAAAAATTTTCTGACCGTTTGGGCCTGACAACGTTCCAATTTGTATTTTTAAGCTAGTTACAGTTACATCCCTGAAGTATCTAATTGTTACACTTACACCCTTCTTTCTGTTCAAAAATTATAGAAATCTAAGAAACAAATATGAAATAATTTTACGCTGCATGCTAAATTGAGAAATTACATCAGAGGTCCTCCATATGAAAAATAGAGCAATTAGGTCCTCAAACTATGCAAAACACGTACACATTTGATCTCTGTCATGGAAACATATTCAAAAAAAAAAAATTTCTTTTTTGGATAACAAATGCCTCAGATTTCATTCAAAAATATCATGAACTACAAGATCAACGATGACGCTTGGGGACTCCCCAATCCACACAGTTTAATTCAAAATGATTTGCTTCCCGCCTTACAAATGAACAAACTAAAGAAATCAGAAATCTTAGAGACAAGCTCCTGGGTTGCACGTACAGGTGGTTTTTTTCAAATCTTGGACAGATTCATGATTAATTCCCTTGCCAACAGCCATCATCTGGCATCAAATCAACCACACTGAGAAGTTTATTGCCAAATATGTACTGCTCATTTAACTCCACGCTTCACTTCAGTCAAACCATCATAATTTTAATGTTGCCTATGTTGTATATAGTTATGAATAAAGCTATCTATCTAGACTTTCGATGATCAACAGTCTTGGAGTCAACCAAATGATCTTAAGTTATTAGACTTCTTAAATGTAAGATGTCCAAGCACTTAATTGACATGTGGAAAACCGTCAGCAGCCTAGATAAATAGCATTACTCTATAGTTATTGGTGAATTTTTTTGAAACAGTCCTGTCATTCTGTCCTATCTTTCAAAGTAGTATCACGGGCTCGCAAAAGATCTAACCCCAAAACATTTAAACCATTGCCAAGTCGTTTCTCATGAGTAACTCCCACACCATTCCAATCTTTTCACTTCAAAAACAAACCTAATACAAGTTTGGACAAGCTTAACTGATCAAGATGATCACTTCAATGTAATTTGGGCTGTAAATGATGTTGGAATAATTAATAATTCCATATGTGGGCTTCACATTTGATTGCAAAACCTTACGGGTTAGATATATGGCTCATAATGATAATTGTGTTTGGGCCAAATTTATTAAGTGATCAATTGGGTCTTTTACACCTTACGGGTTGTAATTAATTTGATGTGGTAATTTAAAGTATGTGGGCTGGAAATAAACCCTAATTAGAATTCTAGTCGTAATGGGACGGCTCAAATTATTTCCTATATATAAAGGCTAAGTCCCCTCTCCTCTCCACATGTGTTTTCATTAGCTTGCCCCATTGATAACTAATACTTTTGTGAGGAGCAAGGAGGGAAAGATCTTGTCTACTATTACAACTATAATTCATATCAACAATGGCTTCCGCAGGTATGAATTTGGTTTATTAATTTATTATTTGGTGATCCTTGATTCTTAGCATGATTGAAAATTTAATATTAACAATTGGTATCAGAGCCTTCATGCT